TCAATCGTCCCATCAGGCCGGCCTTCCCGCGTGTGATACATTTCCACGAAGGTCCGACCAATAGTGGCAAGACTTATGCAGCTATGCAAGCACTCCGTACAGCGAGGTAAGATATCGTTGAGTGACTGTCGATGGGAGACTCCGCGATCTCGATCACTCCCCTTGCTTGTTGCTCAGTCGAGGAGTATACTGCGGTCCGCTTCGGCTCCTAGCATGGCAGTGCTTTGAGGATCTCAAGGCCATGGGGCTCGATTCTGATCTCATCACTGGCCAGGTTGGAAGAACCGTGCTTCATGCACTGTATATGCCGTCCTGTCTAGGAACATATCCGTGGCAAATGGGATGAAGTATCAGAGTTCCAGCTGGACGCTTCAGCGGAGGATACCGAAACAGGCGTCGGGACCCACCTTTCCTGCACTGTTGAGATGTGTCCTGGCCCCGGCAGCGTAGAGTATGATGTTGGTGTGATCGATGAAGTACAGTTGGTCGGTGATCGAGAACGCGGTGGAGCCTGGACTAGGGTGAGCGGCTAACCGTGAGCCTCACCTGATGAGGATTTTTCTTGGCTTCCAACCTCCACTGATTGTTCAATATTGGTGTTACTTCGGTGTAATGTTTTGCAGGCCATATTGGCTCTCCCAGCTCGTGAGATACACCTCTGTGGCGACGGCAGGGCAACGGAACTCGTAGAAACTTTGTTGGGAACGTATCGCCCTAACGATGTCGTGGTCCGTCATAAACCGTGAGATTTTTATCGTGTACACGAGAAATTGGAGGTATCTTGATCAGGTACTCCCGTCTTAGCCCCTTGTTTCTCTCCGGTAAGGCCATCGGTTCCTACCGTAGTCTTAGAAGAGGAGATTGCGTAGTGGTATTCAGTCGCTGGGATATCATGCGGTGAGAATAGCTCTGATGGTATGGTATACTTATTAATTGGAAAGCTGATACTTCTCAGGGTTAAGGCGGATATCGAGCGCTCCACAAGGTGGCGTGTCTGTGTTGTTTACGGTACTCTTCCGCCAGAAACTCGGCGTGACCAGATCAATAGCTTCAATCGTCAAGAGTTCGACGTTCTCGTAGCCAGCGACTGTATTGGCCTTGGTCTCAACTTCAACATACGCCGAGTAATTTTCTCTACTGTACATAAATATGATGGTATTGAGACGAGGCAACTCTTACCAACTGAATTTCGCCAGATTGGTGGTCGAGCTGGACGATATGGCCTCTCTGCCGGAGCTGAAGGGGGTGTTGTTGCATGCATGCACGAGGATCATCTGCCAGCGCTCTTCGCCGGTTTTGGCCTC